GCTCTAAACGCAGGAGTGAAACACAAGATCAAGCATTTCCATGACCCAAAACTCAAATTCACTTTTAAGAAAAAAAAATATCAAGAAATACTCAATAGCGATCGGAATGAGCATGATTCGAGATCAAGAAAACTAAAAAGGCAAAAAACAAGTTTTTGCTAGAACCGTAGCTCCAATAGCGAATGAGAAGGGAGAGGACTGTTGAAGTAAGCAGTTTTTTTTCGGATTGCAGATGCAATAGAGATTTGTGGAAGAAGAAGAAGAAGAATGATTAGGAGGCATAGAAAAAATAAAATGGCCTATAAGAGAGAACAAAGAGACGATTGGGAGGCATAAAAACAAAGAAGAAAAAGGGAAGTGAGACAGTAAGGAACAAAACGAGTTCACCAAATAATAAAAAAAGAACCATATAAAATTGTACCAGAAGCGGTGGGCCCCACAAGGGTTAGGATGGTCAAAACAATAAAAAACGGAGTGTCTAAGATATATGAGGAGTGAAAAAACGCGACCCTTTCGCAATATCAATATATAGTTAGATGTAAAAGTTATAGTCTATGATTGCATATATCTTAGTAATTAATGTTTTGAAATACTTGTCTATAGAAATGGAATATTTGAAAATGTCTACATAGGCTGAAAGTGATATTTCATGGTTCCGTCTATTTAATACTATGAACATTGGCAAATTAATAAAAAGTTACTGATTAACACAAGCATTTTTTTTGAAGAAAACTTAAAAGGTTTCTATGACATGAAAGTGCATATATCATCAATATATTGTGTTATAGGATCATTAAAAAAGTTATATAACAAGACACCATCTATTTGATAAATAAATGACATTAGAGGATCAATAAAAGAAATTCATTACTAAAGAATTATAGCCCATCCTTACAATTAAACGAATGTTACAAAATCAATGGATAACCTTACTAAATAAATAAACGGATAAGTACACCGAAAGTCGTAAAATTTATTACGAAAATTCAATTAAATTCTAAAACTTTTGAAAAATGCAACTAAGTCATAATCAAATCCCTTCGTTAATTTCGTTCAATTGGCTAACGGAAAAGGTTGACATGACTTTTTATTATTTTTTTGAAGTGAGATGCGCTAATGTGGCTGCCATGTTAGTCATTTTAGAAAAAATAAAATAAAATAAAATAAAAGGAAAACCGAAGGAAATAAACCAAAAAAAAAGTAAAAGCAAGTTGACAGTAAATCATGTTTGGTTTGTCTGCGAGTTTGAAACCCTAGATGTTTTTTTGAAGGGCAGTAGATCGTGTATCCGGCGACGAGACCAAGTGGACGATTGTGATGACACGAGGTTGAGGTCATCTTGCATGGTCCGGTGACTTGCTCAAACTCCATGAGTTTCGAAATCATGACCATCCAATTTGCATATTCAATTTGATATTAAACTCTTTCTCTCTCTATTATCAGGTAAGAATGAGCTACAATCCTACTCAAACAATGCCATGTTTGTTTCAAAAGAGATGGCGTCGATTTAACTCAACTTCAATTTCCATTGTACATGTCCTAGTCGTCAGCCAAGTTAGATGTCACATCATAAGCTTCTTTGGACATATAAGTTAACCGTGATATTTTTGTCCTCGAGTTATAGTCGGTACTTTTTTTGGGTCCTTTAAAAAGTGTGCTTGTTTTTCTTCTGAAATGATAACTCTGTGTTCTTTTTTTCCTTGTAAGTTTGAAAGGCAAGGAAATTTTTTCGTGTATGTTGGTGTCTTTTAACTTTTTTTTTTTGCTAGAAGGTGTCTTTTTACTTTTGGATTTGACCTTAAAAATGAGTTTTAGGTATCTAGGTCATGACGCCCGACGCCTGGACCACAGCCCAAGGTGAAAAATTAAGGAAACCAGATGCAACCCATACTACATAGGCCCATTGGTCTTGAAAGGTCCAATCCCATGGAGTCGCCCACGAACCCATGCATACGGCAGCGCCGGCGAGCCGTGGAAGCAGCACATCGGACGGTGACATGCGTGAACCAAAAGAAAAGCGAACAAAGCTTGATGCACGGAGGTCAGGAGGGGGGAACACGTGTTGACACCTAAATTTTAGCTTACCATTTAGAAATAGGACTAAACTTCAACCCCTAACAAAAATATTAAAATTACATAGCATAGAGTTATTAGGAGCATAGAAATTGGACCTACGGTGGATAGACTTGAATGGATAGTTCTGTACTTGATTAAGTTAATTAAACTAAGCCCGCGTGAGCTACAGAAATTGATCAAAAGCCCATGCTAGGGCCGAAAATTTGGTGGACTTGGAGAATTCTTCTCCACGGCATGATCAGATAAATGAAGAAGGAAGGATTTGGGCAAGATAACAATATTCACATGGAAAAGGGCATAGTATATTGAAATATTTTCCTGAAAGTTCTACTCCCTTAGAGAAATACACGTGAAAGAGCGCAAGATTTCTATAGTTTTCTTCTTAAATCACTGTGGCTGAAGATCCAATGTTATCGAGCGAATATTGCATTATCTTGTTGAAATCAGACGCAACAGGGAAATGTTACATTTTCAGCCAAATATAAGACTAAGAGGGAAGGAAATTAATTGCATCTGACTGTATTCTCTAAAGAAAGGAAGAAATACCATGCAGGACACGTATCATCTTCACGCGTATCTTTGATTTAAGGGCACAAGTGGGTGAATAATGCAAAGAAGAAAAGAAAATATTTGGCTGAGTTGGCGCCGTGCGGACAAAGGGAATAAAAGGAAGGCAAGAAAATATGTCTAGCATTATCCACGGATAAGAAATATTGAATAAGAGGTAATATTGCACGTGGTACATATGTTTGATCTTATTATTAAGCAATATATCTTTTTGACAATATTTGTTATTCATAAAAAAGGAAGTCGGTAGACAGCTTTTCTTTCATATATTCGTACTTCCTCTTTTAAAGTGCAAAGGCAGACAGTATAAAAGCTACCTCTCTATAGACAGAAACGGGCTCGGTTGCCTTTCTTTTCGTGTCGCTGTTGTTGATCCAGTCCAACGACGCCACTGCACTACCGTGGCCAGCCAACGACGACGTCCAGTCCTTGCTGCTCCGACGACGAACCAGCCGAGATTGACTAGTGTTGTTCCTGCTCTGCCTTGAAACAGAACACTTGCTCTGTTTTCCTCGAGTCCAGCTGTCGTGGTTTCCCGTCCCACACCAACGAGCTGCTGTTTTCACTGATCTGTTCAGCCCAGCTACGAGGCGTTACGTTCCTGACCTGATCGTGAAAACGTCGCTGCTACCTACTCCTGTTGACCCGACGGTTCTTCCGGTGAGATCGTGAACCATCCAGCCGCAACTCCAATCGAGCCACTACCGCGGTCCCTCTAGACCGAGCTATTCTGTTGAAGTTCAAATTTGGAAAGTCATTTGCGCATTTAGGTAAAGATCTTATCCGAATTAATTTGGATATTTTATTGCTTATTCTGTGCTTATTGTTTTCTAACTTTGTATATTTGAGCGATAAACACAATTTCGATTAGGATTTATCTCCTAATCCGCAACGCGATATGGTCTTTTGATTCTATCTATATTCCTTTAGATGGAATTATTAGATTGCGCGGTTAGAAAATTTATTTTTATCTTTAAGCCCTAAGATTAGGATATTGATTCTATTTTTGCAGAAATATCAAGTTGATGAGATAACGTATCTAATTGTTGTTATCTTTGGTGGGTAACGTTTTGTTTATCTTCGATTGCTTGCTTCATTTGCAGAAAATATAAAAAGGTTGTGTGTTAGAAATAGATAGGATAATTTAGTACCATTGCGTGGTTTAGATAATATCTAGTTTATAGAGTAAGGTCTTTCCTAATTGAAATAGGATTTAATTTAAATTATTTCCTAGTGCGGATTGGATAACCTTCATTTAGGGTAGTTTTCATTTTAGCCAATTTTAATTACGAATTTTAAAATATAAAAACATAAAAAGAGTCATCTTAGTATAAATCGATAGGATAGATTGCATGATTTAATTAGGGTATTTATTAATTACGAATTTTAATATAAAAATACCAAAATATCATACGCGTGTCATGTAGTGTAGGTCATGTCATATTGCTATGTCACGTGCATGTCACATAGTTCGCATGTTAAGTTCATTCAATTATAAATTGCATGTTATAAGAATTAAGTTATGTAATTAACTAAAATTGCATGTTATATAGGTTAGTTTTAATTTTAAGATAAAAGAAAGCCCCAAAAATACTTGATTGCCTTGGTGTGTTAATTTCTTTGCTTTGTTTATTGATTGTTCTTTTAATGATTGTACACCCGCATGATCACTTCCTGCATGTTAGTAATCTAGCTTAAAATTAATCCAAGCTGCCTACATAAATGTTTTCAAGAAAATGAAATGGTACCGAAATGGCGTTAGAGTAATCTAGCATAATCAAGTTCCCGAACTCATTTAATCTCTTGTTCGTAGAAGTAACGTAATTCTCCCGCACTTTACTTGGGTTTCTAATCGACCCACCAAAAAAAGATTAGTGGCAACTCCTATGTGAAAATGATTTGCGAATTGGTATGGGCTTGGGAGAATCAGAGTTAGGTTAGGTTTAGGCTTAGTAATCCATTAGCTAAAACCTAGGTGGTGCACCCCGAGAGTAGGTTGTGACACCACGTTTTCAGGCTAGGTTACCATAGATATATGTTTAGCAAAGTGCTACATTTTGATAATTAGGCACATGATTCTCACTGATGCCCGCAATGAAGAGTGCATGCTTGTCTCAAGAAGAAGAAATGATCTCACAACTCCTAAGGCTATGTATTGTCCGCATTGCAACTGCTTCAGTTGACCACCTTGAAGGCAATATTACTCCCTCTCCCCACAAGGCCACAATGTCCTTTTAGAGTGACTCGGCCATTGAATGGGTTAGCAAGCGTTCTAACGAGTGAAGCCTTCCTTATTGCAGTCGAAAATCTCTGTATTAACAGCTTCAAATTCTGTAAAATTGTCCGAGAGAGAGAAATAATCTTCTCAAATGACTAATGACATGTTAGCTTTTCTCAATTGAGAGACCTGAGTCTTTCGTTCGGCAGAAAAAAAAGAGCACAAGAAAAGAAAACACAAGTTAAAGAAACTAGTCCCATGAATGTACATATGAGAGAGAGAGAAAGAGAGAGAGAGAGAGAAGTTTCACAATTCCCTGGAAGAGGGGACGTGAACCCACTGCAACTGGAGTTCGATCTCTCCACACTCGACATTGCGGAGCCTGAGGAACATATTCTGCACCACTTTGCCGTTGCTCACGATGATGCAGCTCTCCTCAGCCAGGCAATTTTGCCGGTTCGGCAGGATTCTCTTGAACACGGTCCCATCTTCAAGGCCTCGCAAGTCTGCCTCCATCGTCACGGCTTCCAGGAATGGCCTGACATCAAACTCCGCGTCCCCCATTTTGTCGTCGAGGCTGAATCTGTCCTTGTCATACACTGCCTGCGACAAATGGAAACAAGCAGTCGTTACGAAGAATCGAAAACCTTCGAGATGCATCTCTGTCACTTTACTAATTTGATGCGGTCGCAGTAGTCACTTACAAGCTTCACAGGAAGATCTGGATCAGCAACACAAAGAGTCAAGTTTTCGTTCCACTCAGGATTGAGATTCCTCCTCACAACACGAGTCTTCAGTTTCTGCAAGACATTTATAGACAACAGGATCATCAGTTCTAGCAATTGAAACCGAGGGGCCTCAGCTTTTTATCTTTGTTACGGTACCATGATTTCATTCATGTCGACAAGAAAAGCAGCAACAAAGCACTAATTGAAGGCATAGTAGATTTCCTCTGGCTCTAGTAAGAATTGAAAAAGTTTCAGCTTTCTTGCCCTCGACTATTCTCATTCCTGTTAGGCAAATACACATTGTTGCATCCATGACAACAACTACCATCATTCAAGATTGCCGGATTCGATTCAAAACAACCGTAACATGTACCCACGCTCAATCTGAATAACATCTGAAGATCAGCATCCCCAGAAGCTGAAGAACACCCAGAGAAGAGAATTCACCGAAACAGGGGACAAAAAAGAAAGAAAGAAAAGAACCCAAGATCAGTACCTGCTTGCCCATCCTCACAATGACATAAGGATCGCTGCTTCTGACATCTCTCACGGCGAGGTTGATTCCTCTGTGGATGTGAATCCTGAGGAGGCCCAACGTATCATCCATTAGGTCCCAAACGCAAAACGATTCTGGAGTCAAATGGGTCTTGAAATCAGTGAGGTGTTCTCGTCGGACAGCGGAAGACGGTGCTGCTTTCGATGCTCTGCCAACGATGCCAAGCTTAAGACACAAGTCTTGATTTATTAGCGTGCTCTTTTATAACCCCACGGAAGAGAAGTGTGTCATCATTTCTTCAATTTCAGGGACGCGTCAAGTGAGCTGGCCCTTAGAATGATTTTTGTGGTCCTGTTCATCACGAGCAAGCGGGGTTTTTTTGGACTCTCGAATGTATGCCTACGAAGCACATTTCATAAAAGACTTTTTTCAGAATCTGATCATTTACTCTATGATGCAGAATCTATTAGTGGTGCTTTTCTGGACCGGTTGGACAGGCAGAAGTCCAACCGGAAGGCGAAACGATGATGCAACTAGAACCGGCGGACCCGGTTGACGACATCGGATCGGGCTCAAATTCGGTCGTTTGAAGCAAAATAGCGGTCTGAACAAAACTCACTGCCTTTGGCCATGACTAATGATAGATTTTAACAATTCGAAATCGTTTACATGGGTTTTTCTATTATTTTAATATTTTTTATGGGTTTTAATTTTAAGGACAGTTTTGTAATTTTGATATATATATAAGCTTGTTTTAGGGTTCTTTTTTATGAACAGAACATTATCATCAATATTGAATTTCGAGATTTCTTTCTCTAAGCAAGGCTTTGCTTGAATTATTCACTGCACGCTGCGTCACTCTATTTCATGGAAAGTATTTGAATACGATGATCATATGGACAATACATTAAATCCTGCACTTTTTACCAAAAATGACAGCTGACTAGTTTCCAAGAACGTTCCGCCATCATCTCCCATTGGACTCTCCGCAGGTTAGTTGACTAATGTTTCCTGCGAAAAAGTTGCTTGTTTCCTCATTTTCTACGATGTTTCATGTTTGTGTCTCTGTCCTGCCACGCGGGAGGCAACAGACAGCGTGTGTTCACACAAACGGCCGCCGTAGTTTTCTAGGAGCGCTTTCGGTAAGTTTCACACAACGCCATTAACGGATGTGCCGCGTGAGCCGGGACCCCCGTCCATCATGCTCAACGACAAGCGCTGCCAAGTTGAAATTTTCATGAGCTGCGTATGCTCGAAGGTGTATTATTTGTTCGGGCGTGATGCCTTAGATTGGACAGATTGTCGGGAAAAAAAAATATTGGGGAACGATTTATCGTTTTTCAAATCTGAAATCCTGCTATTTGGGAATGGGTATTTGTCTTCTGGCACCTGGCATATTGCGATTTTCCCTTTCGTTCACCGCACATGGGGATTCAAATCAATCGGAAAGTGATGTGGAAATGTCCAAATCTCCGGTTTGGACTAAGTTGTCAAATGTGCCTATGCAGTTGATGACTCTTGTTGGGCTAAGCCGCGTTGCAAGAGGAGTTGGAAATTCCTTAATCTTGACTAGACGTGTCAAAAAGAATCATAGATCCGTTTCTTAACCTATATATGATGGGTTGAATTGTTAGATGAGTTAATTATATTCAATAAATGGGTCATAAATGGATTTAAACATAATATGGGTGTTAAATGAATCATAAATGTGTTTACAATTTACTTAGATTCAAACAATCTCTGTGACTCTCTCTTTATTTTCTCTCGTCCTCAGTTGATTTTACACTCACTTTCCGCATTCTCACCTCAGTTGAGGTATGAATTTTCCTAAATTGAATTAAATGTGGAAGTATTTTAGCAATATTATTCAATTCAAGTATGAGTCATTAAATTTGCATTACATGCAAAATGTGTCAAAAACGGGTTAAATGAGTCTATTTGGGTCGAACCATTTTCGACCCAACCCAAACCCGACCTACTTGTTTGATGAGTCTAATGTTGACAAGGCTACTTCTGAAGGTTCCCCATTATCTTTTGCAAAAGTAGGTGTTAAGATTGATCTGGCTGCACCTTTGCCCCAATCAGTGCGGTTGAGGAGTCCTTGAGGCATCATGAGAGAGCAGCAGCGAGGTTTAGATTGTAGCGAAGTGCTTGTAATTTGGCTCAAACATTGAGTCAAGATAAATATTGTTAAAAAATGTCTCGAGATTAATCCATAAAAGAAATCTGAGTTGGAGCATTCTGCAGCCTGGCCAAGTGCATGTGAAAAGAGAACACGGTGTCTTTTATTCTCAATCCAACATGAATATCTTCTAAGTTTTCGGCTATGTTTGTTTTGCGGAAATAAATGATTTGACAAACACTTTTCGAAAAATAATCACTTATATTATTGCTTATAAAGATAAATGAACAAAAAATATTTTTATTGTCCATGAAAATGTTTACACATAAATTGTTAAATTGAAATATTTTTCATTGATTAATTAATAGACAATACAAGCAATCATTTTTAAGAAAATATTTTCCAAATCATTTATTTTCCATAAAACAAACGGAGCCATAATTTTACTTTCCTTGATTTAAGTTTTCATAGGAAAACATTTTCCGTTGACTCAATTTCGTAAACGATTCAAACGTAGGAAAATGATAAAACATTTTCCCGAAAAATATTTTTCGCGAAACAAACGGAGCCCTACATTGGTTTGTTTCCCCATTCTGTATAGGACTTTGTGAAGTGAGTTTGCGGCTAAAGACCAAGAGAAGGTTTCATGGGGTTTATATGTAATATTACCCATGAGGTAGGGCTTCTTGGCGTTGACTTCAAAGTAAACATGAACATGAATTATTTCCTGAAATAATCCAAGACTGCTGAAGCCGATTAAATTTTCTGGGTAAAACTTGGGTACTTCTCTGTGAGATGAAGTGATTGTTTCTTGAGAAATTGTGTGAGGCTATAGACTGAAATTATTGGATGCAATTGGAGATTGAGAAATACTCTGAACGTGTTTAAGTTCTTTCAGTGTGATTGTAATTTACGTTGTATCAATTGATTTATAATGAAATCATGTGCTGCTCTCCCCGTAGAGTAGCTCACACGGACTAAACCACATACATTTAATGTTCGATAAATTTCCTTATTTTGTTTGTCATTGTGTCTGATCGTTCATTTTTCGCAAGAGATATTAACTATGGAATCTAAGGTCTTAATCTATTCGCATGCACTGTTGTAATAGTTTTGTACGCAAAATTACACAAGCTTATAGGACGAAATTGATCCAGGCTCTCTAGATATGGGAATTTTGGGATCTTGCTGTTCAGTGAAGGGTCAAACATACCAGTTTCCATAAAACTTTGTACTTCTTTGAAAATTTTGTACTGGGTCAGAGCCATGTTCATTTCTGTCGCAACAGAACAAAGACAACGGTCAATGACTGGCCGAGAGCCTCTGCCATTCTGTGCTGCACAAACTTTAGAAAAAACTGAGCTGCAATGAGTTTCCAAGCATTCTAATCTCGGCATCACTCATTCTCAGAAATTTTTCAGCAGTGGTATTTCATTTCCCTGCCTATTTTGAATTGTAGAGGCATGGAAAAATCTAGTATCTGTCACCTCATCTCGGTCATAGAATCCTCAGTAGAATTTGTTCTCTGCTGTAGTTCCTTCTTCAGGGCTTCTTGTCTGTTTTTTGGCATTTGAAAGCTTATGTTTGCTCCAATCTGCCAAAGCCTTAGAAATAATTTCCAACTTCTTCCTTAAACCCTCTCCAGTTCTTCCTCCCAAAACCCAATTTTCTTTCATTAATTCCCAGCACTCTTCATCCTCAGCCAAAAAGCTTTGAATTTGATTTCTCTCTTTCTTTTAGGACGAGTAGCACTCAAAGATTGTACAATGGAGCTCTGCATATGGATGAGATAATCTGCAATCGTGGTTCACAAAAACTCCGTCCAAACTTTTTGTTACAAAATCATCCCATTCCCTCTTTTTATACTAGGTAAATGCACATCCCTTACGCTCTATATCCAACAGTGAACATTTCTTCAGTATATCTTGAAAAGCAAGCATTCTATTATTTTTATGTTGTCCAGCTCCAATCTTCTCCTAATGATTAGAGTATGTCATTGAAATCCACCAAACAAACCCGTGGCAAAAAGTTCATTGTGCTCATGCGCTGGACTTGATCCCAAACCCTCAATCCTTCTTGGAAGGCAGCAGAAGCATGCATAAAGGTCATTCGAATCACATCTCTAGTTTGAGTCCAACATATTACATCAACAACAAAGACACTAGATCATTCCACAAGACATCCATACCACCCGCCAAACCCACAGGATCTCTGACAAACATGTTTAGATACTGAAGCCGGCATTTGAGTGGATCTAACACATGCCTTTGAATTTTAGTCTCCATTAAAAGATTATTGAGGGTTTTTCTTGAATCACTAAGGCTGAAGGGTCTAAATTGTTGGAGGAGCGCCCAAATCCTAACAATTCCAACACAAAACATTCATTGGTCCATTAGTGGCTTATTAGGGCCAACCACCAAAACCGATCCTTTCATCTCAGTGGATAGATTCACTAGAGTTTCCATCAGTTGAGATTCATCAACCAAGCACACCTGTGGAGTCTTCATTCCATAGGTTCATATCAACTTACTTTTTTCTGAACCTCAGCTTTGCTTGCAGAATGCTTCAGTTTCGATGATTCTTCCAAACACTGGTTCAGATTCTCATCACGTGAAAGAACCGATTTTCCTCTTATATCACTAGGTAGGGCGGTTGCTTGATCTATCACCACTTGGGGATGGGTTCGGAGCTTCCGTAAGGGACAATTTGCATAGTATAAATGAGGGATTCAGGTATAATCTCTTCTTCCTCAACTAACACAGCTTCCTTCAAGTAAAAATCTTCCAAAATGAGCTTAAATCTGCAATCTGATCTCTCAACCTCGTCCCTGCTTTAGATTTATCAAAGACAGTCTTTTTGCAGTATCCCACGTGATGACCTATTTTCCTGCAGGTTTTCCTCATGGTGTTCTGAAAGACGTTGATGTTGATACTGGGGTTTGACATCAGTCTACTAAATCGGAAATGTTGGCATTCCTGGAGTTGTTACTTCGTAAGCACTCCATCCATTATTGCCATGCCTTCATTTGACCGTAGTTTCCTATTTTTTTATATGGCTGCGACGTTGTTACTTGAAACTGGCTTCGTCACTTGTTAAGATCAGCCCACAGGGAGGGTAGAGAGAAAGTTCTAATAGAAAGAGAGAATCACTACTTTCGTTGATTCATGGAAAGAAATTTAAAAACGAGTAATCGCCACCAAATTGGTGTGGTGAAACTCGAAAGGTTTCATCTTACATGCCCAAAAATTTACAAAAAGAATCAAATAATGATTAGGAACTCATTCAGAGCTTTCTCTGTACATTGAATTGAACTCAGAATGATCAAATTTGAGAGACCTAGTCTTCCTACAGGCCCCTGGAACCGGGAATGTCTATCCACTGAAGTTGGAGCTCAACCTCGCCGCGCTCCACATTGCGGAGCCGGAGCACCATGTCTTGCACCAATTTACCGTCGCTCCACACTATACAGCTCTCCTCCGCCAAGCAGTTGTCCCTGCCAGGCTTCACTTTGGTGATCACGGTTCCGTTCCGGATATTATCCAATCTCGTCCTCAACGCATCAAGAACAGGTACGATGGGGATCTCAGCATCCCCCATCTTGTCATCACGGCTGAATTTGTCCTTGTCGTACACCATCAAATGTATGGAAAGGCTCGGGTCGGCGATCGAGAGAATCAGTTCCTCGTTCCACTCTGGGTTCAGGTTCCTCTTGATCACCCGAGTTTTCAGTTTCTGCAAGAAGCATCAAGAATTTAAGTGGGTCGGTTCAGCTGAAAGCAACTATAAACTTTAAACTACTTAAATTCAGAGAAGCAAAATTTGGAGAGTGGACTGATCGACGTACATCTTTGCCCATTCTGATGACAACATAGGGATCACTGCTTCGGACATCTCGGATCGCGAGGTTAACTCCTTTGTGGACGTGAATTTTCAGAAGTCCCAAAAGATCTTCCATTTTTTATGAGACAGATTTGCTCTTGTCCTTAGATAAGAGAGAATGAAATAAATCACCGAAGTTAGAAGGAGGCGGTGCCGCGGGGGCGCAAACTAGTACTTCTGGTATCTTTTTCTGGATGAGAAAGAATGCAAACTGGGAATTTGTTCTGTTGTCTGATGCCAATTCCCAATATCTGGTCTGGTCTTTTTATACCGAACGGTTTAAGGCACAAAGAGAAGGATTACCTCGTCAAAGTATTCTGGGTTTGACTTTGAAAACTTGACCCGGCCAAGTCATCAATTCATCTATGATAACGCGCAGTTTGGACTGCTTCAATTGGCTCCTTCTTCTGTACGGTGAAAAGTTCGGTCTATTGGGCAAGAACTCAACAACGGAAAAATAACCGAAAAAGTTCTAAACATATTGCAATCGTGTTAATTCAATCATAAACCTTAAATATATTGCAATCGTGTCAATTCAATCATAAACTTTCTTGTTTTTTTTCCAATTGAGTCCTAAACTTTTTACATTTGTGTCAATTTAATCCATCTAGCCAATTTTGACCGAAAATCGTTGACATGGAAGTTGGCCATTCTACATGACGCGATCGGAGCTGACTGGGACATTTTTAAACAATATTTTTCCTTTTTTTTCTTTCTCTTTTTTCTTTTTCTTCTTCCTACTTCCTCTAGCTAGTCGTTGGACCTCAATGACCGGCCAGAGGCAATGGCTGGCAAGGTAGACCTCACCGTTGTTGGGCAAGGCTCTCCTTCGCCAGATCCGTCGAGGGCAAGGCTCATCGCCATGGTATGCTCATTGAATTTCGGTGTTCAAGCAGTAGGAAATCGTTGCGCTTGATGCTCTCGAGCACGAAAGAAAAACCCCAGAATCCAGTCGATTTTGCATCGATTTGAGCATCGAACTTTGTCAAAATCGTTCCTTCATCTACTGCATTCGACGACGAGGCCGACCTCGCCCAGCCATTGGCAAGGCGTGCCTTCGCAGGCCACTAGTGAGGCTTGACCTCGCCAGCCCAGCCGGTCGCCAAGGTCCGGCAAGCAACAAGAGGAAGAAAGGAAGATAAAAAACAAAAGAGAAAGAAAGGAAAAAAAAAAAGGAAAAATGAAAAGAAAAAATAAATAAATAAAATTTTAAAAATTATTAAAATATTATTTTAAAACGTTCACGTGAAGAACGGCCACTCCACATACGACGACTAGCGTCAATGTCAATGATTTCCTGCCAAAATTAGCCGGATAGACTAAACTGACACAATGCAAATGATTTAAGACGCAAATAGCAAAAAAAATGTTTAAAACTAAATTAGCACATTAACCTTAAGTTTAAAATCTTTTTGATAATTTTCCGGCTCAACAAATTGAGATGGTGATGGTTCGCCTATTCGCAAAGGCAGGCGATTGTGGGCTGCTGTCTATGCGCATTTGTGGCCTAACTGGCGGCTTGTAATGCTAAAATTGGTGGCGTGTGGGTTCGTGTCCCGACATCGACGAGACGATCAAAGGTGAGAGTGAGAGGGACGATGTGACCAGACCATGTCCACGATCGTTGAGCCCCAAAATCTTTTGTTCTGGGACGGCATTGTCCGAGTCTGCGCATCCCTGAAAGGTCGAACATTCGGGCGATAGCATCGAGACTTATCTCTGGGATGCTTGGAGGAAGAAAGTGCTCGGATGCTATCCGATGAGATGGCATCACTTAGAAGTCATACGGGCTCCTTGTCATCATCAATAAATAGCTTTTTATTTAATTATATTTTGCTTTTTCAATTAAGTGATCAAGTGGTGTCCAAATTAATATCGGTTTAATTAGACGACTTCATCTCTCCAAGCGATCGGAAAGGCATGCTTATTTATATCGGCCTAGTGCATTCGAGAATTTAGTGTGAGAATGCTCTTAACAAGACTTGAACTCAAGAACACAAAAAGATAAGCAAACTCGCTTGTCATTTTAAGCTGGTTACTGTTGGCACGAAGACAAAATGAAATGTCAATGGAAAAAAATTATTCCCGGGAATAGTACCTTTATCTCCCTTTGTGCACACAGGTTTTAGTCCTCTACAACTACATGTGCATCTTGGTTTGTACAAACTATTATGGACCCTTAACATATTGATGGAACTTTATAGATAGGGTTGCCAAATCTCGGACTTTCAGGGTATTGACAATGCCAAATAATCATGGTTCAAATCAAACATACCGTCATGGATATACAATTCTTTTGGTTTTTTTTTTAAAAATTATGATTAGTTGGCCTGGACATACTGCACCACCTTTTTGTGTGTTTAAGAGAGAGTGTGTGTGTGTTTTGTAGTTAAATCGGACTATTGATTCTAATCAGGATATAGGCCTCATTTAGTTAGTAAAAATGAAACAATTAGAATAAATTAAAAGAAATTGGAACAAACATTGGGTAATCAGGATTGTACATAAAATTTAATTGAGATGTTTGTAACACCTTTGAAAAGTGACCTGGGCCTACAACGATGACAAGGTGACAATGAAGTGGTGGCAATGCGCACGCGAGCTGTTGTGCCGTTAACCGGCGTGTGGTGGCCCTGGGCTTTCACTGTGTTCATGATGGTGGTCTGGTTGTCCATGGTGGAAAGTGAAAGGAAGAAGAAGAAAGAAAAAAAGAGAGAAATAAAATGTCAAATCAAGCTAAGGTGGAAAAAGATGACGACAAAAATGACACGATGGACAAAATTGGCAACATTTGGATAGAAAATTAACTTACGGCATATTTTTTTATATGAAAATGGGGCCGAGTACAAAAATTTTATATCGTAAATCTATTATCCCTATTCTATCACTCAATAGAACATGAAGTAACTCTGTAAAAGGTAATGAAAAGAAATGAGTATATAAGTGCTTATCAATTCCAAGATTAGCAAGCCGATCAGCAAAGCGATTTTCTTTCCAAAGTTATGTTGCAATTTTTACTCAAAGTGAGAGCGCAATAGTCTTGTAATATCTTTAAGATATTAAGGAACATATTCTTTAGAGTCAATCTTAATTATCAATAATAAGCTCTAGCCTAACAAGATCGGTGATACATTTAGAGTCAATCTTAATACTGATCTTATGAAAACCAAGTTGTTTTGCAAAGTTGATTCCCAACCACGTCAAGGAACATATTCTTACAAATGCAGCAAAACCACTAAGGCAGTCCAACTTTAGGGCAGATTTAGGTTTGTAGTAAAAGCTTGTGATTTTTTATGAGATACAAAAAAAGTTCAAGATAGAATTAGGACTGAACCTAAAGTTTGAGGTGTTTTAAGGAATTAGCTCATCAGGAATGAGAAAATAGTACGTCATATTTCTTGATTCAGTTTTTTTCTTATCATAAATATTCCTTCATTTGTGAAATTTCCTTTTTTCTTAAATCTTATTTATTCCCACCTCTCCCCATGGTAATAAATATGGTAATTTCAAGTCTTTTTCATTCTTCATATACATTTCCATTGCTTTTTATTCCAAGTTACTAAACAGAAAGGTTAAATTCGCGTTCCACTCTTTTCATTCTCAGTAAACATGTCTAGTAAACATATCTGGCCTAAGCCTAAAACCCTAACCGGAATAAGTTAAAACGATTACGCTCTACACTAATTAAGACCATATCTTACTAGGCTTTAATATTTTTTTTTAAAATCTACTTCAACCAATATTATAAGATTTCAGATAAACTTTATACAACCTGGCCAATTATATTTAAGTTTAGAAATAATTACCATTCTTCCATCTCTATTTTTCGTCTACAAAATATATGATATAAGCGCTATAGTTATTTCGTGGTAAACTACAAGGGAGTGAGTGCAACTTTTAGAAATTCAACTTCGAATGGGAGATAGAGGCCCGGTTGAGTAATAGATAAGATAACACTTACCCTTAAACGGTCACCATTTTGTTAGATTATTTATTGTATTTATTTTGGGGTCTTGGCCACCGTGAGAGGGGATCGGGTCATTATGAGTGGTATCGGGATGACCTTCAATAGATTTGTGATTTGTGGATGGCTAGGCTTATGAGCTAATCGGCATCTGATAAAGATAGGAGTGATTGCCAGAGTGAAACGAGTTGAAGAAGGTGCTATTCCTAGCGGGATTCTAGGATAGTAAAGGGGGTAGGAATAGATTAGACCACATATTGAATATAAAGGGTATGTTTAGGTGATGTGACGACATTAATCTTTTAAGTGAGGGAGTTTGTAATAGTCCAAAATCCTACATAATCCTACAATGATAAGAGAGGCCATGTTAAGTGATTTACAAGTGAATATCTAGGCATAAGTGCACTAGAAGTCCTAAAACTTGTTACTAAAATGCAATTAAATTTTATAATTTTCAAAAAGTGCAATCAAGTCCTAAAATTTATCATGAAAGTACAATTGAGTCCTAAAACTTTCAAAAAATATAAATAAGTCATAAAACTTGTCACAAAAGTGCAATCAAGTCCTAAAACGTTCAAAAATGCAATCAACGGAATGACTTGATCAGACCAATTTGACAAGTTTTTCAACACTGAGAAAAAGTATTTCAACCTTAGGCTCCATTTATTTCAAGGAAAATAAACTATCTATGGAAAACATTTTTTCTCAATGGACAAAACATCTTCAAAAGTGTGAAAAATGTTTTCCTCTTTTCAAAAAGAGGAAAACACTTTCCCTCCTCATTCTTTCACCATTCATTTTAATTATTTTAATATTATTTTTTAAAAATTCTAATTTTTAATTATCTTTTTTATTTTTATTTTTCTCTTTTCTTTTCTTTTTTTTGGACCTTCTTCTCCGGCCGGTCACCTGCCACGGCGATGGTCAGCGACTAGCCACGGCGACAGCCGACGACCAACCACAGGCGAGGTCGGCGCCGCACCTCGCTTGACGTCAGCGAGGTGAGGCTCAGCCTCGCTCGAGGTCGCCAGCCTTGGGCGAGCAAGGCCGAGCCTCGCCTGTGGCCGATCGTCGACCGTCCCGATGGCCGGCGACTGGCAGGGAAAGAAGAAAAGAAA